AAAAAAAAAATCTCATCTACAATCTCGTGATGGCTGAGCATAAAGCATACGGTACCTGTGTGATAGGATAATCACGTGTAGGTCGGAATGGCGGTCGCGCGACTGTTCGCTGGAGGTTTCCGTCACCGGCGGGTGGCCGTAAGGAATCGCACGGCGTCGAGTGGGCCTTTTGTGATGTCTTGTATTAGAATTTGGCTTCTTCCAATAATTTTATGCGCGTGGAGATGTATTCTGCCCACGCGCCTCATCTGTGGCGTGTGCCGTAATCTCTTTTATTTACCAAAAATTGGTTCTTCCCTTAAATTTTTAAAGATTATATATTTATTTTGAAAAAAAATATTCTTAAATTTTAAAATTGATGAGATAAAAGTATGTAAATGTTAATATTTTTTTTTTCAAAAAAATATATATTATTATCTATCTATCTATCTATATCTATATCTGTATCTATAGTAATATAAAGAGGTTGCTGGAAAAATACAAAAATAGTATGTTTGACTTAAAAAAATAAAGTGTTGACTTACTACTTTAAGTAATTATTACTACATTAAGAAATAACCATGTAGGTCCCACACATTTAATTAATTAACATAAAATTAATGATTAATGGATAACATAAATAACATAACTAATTGATCCATCCATCCTTGCATTTTAGAAATTTGTTAAACAATATGTAGGTCCCACACGGTTTAATTAATTAACATAAAATTAAGGGTTAATTGCTTTAAAAACCTCAACCTTTTTGTGTTTGGCGATTTTATCCCAAACTTTGGATAAATGTAATATAATACTGACCTTTGTTTACTTATTGCAAAATGGACTTTAGATCGGTCGGAGCTTCAAAACCCGCCAGCGTGTCCGGCAGCTTAAGTTGACGTGGAATTACCCATTTGCTGCGTGGATATAAGTTAATTAGGTGTAAAATTCTCATTTCTGCGTGGCATGGGTATAAAAACGGGTCCCCGTCACTCCCAAACACCCAAAATTTCCAATCTCTAAATCGATCCCCAATTTGAATCCCTCAAAATCTCTCTGCACTTTTCTCTCCAAAAAATCGAACCTAACATATGAAATATTATCTCTGCACCAAGATTTCGCGGCGTTGTCGTATCATTTTCATGAGAGTTTGAGTTCCTGCGTTCGAAAGTTCCATTCGACAGAGAAATGAAAGACAGGTTTTTCGATTTTTTGATTTTTGTATTTTTATTCCTAAAACAAGTGGAATTATAGAATAAATGTATATATGGTTCGTTTAGAAATGTAAATCTGCCTCGAATTCTCGAGGTAAAATACGATTCTTTTGGGAAATTTTTGATATTTCGAGAAATTAAGGTTTTTGGGGAAATGACGATTTTCTGGGAAATTAGTTTGGCGATTTTCTAAGCATGGTATATTCTTTACTTGTCTGCTTGAATTCAGTTACAATTTATCTCGAATTTTAGAATTTGTGAGTATAATTAGGGTTTTTTTGGAGAAATTAGACATTTTTGGAAAAAAAATTAGGGTTTATTTAGAAAATGCGATTTTTCTGGGATATTTATATGTTAATTTACTAAAAAACGATATGTGTTTGCAGTGAGAAATTTTCAGATTCTTATAGATATTTATGTATTTAATTTTTCGTTGCAGTGGCAAATTTTCCATTTTTATCAACTATGGAGGATACTTCGTCAGTTGCGAAAATGTGGTTGACTACATAGGTGGTAGTTTCAAGAACGTCCATGGTTTAGATCCAGATAGATTTGGGTATTTTGACTTACAAGAAGAAGTTGAGAAGCTGGGTGTTGGTAAGTTTGAGAAAATTTTATACAGAATTCCAGGGAAGTCTGGAAAAGATTGCTTTAAAGATGTTGTAAATGATAGTGTTGTTATGGAGATGATCACACAGAGTAGTCAAAGAAGATCATTGGTAGAGATTTATGTGGTTGGGGAAGAAGTCAATGGGAAAAAGAATGCAGAAGAAGCACATAATGATGTGGATTTAGGAGTTGAAGCACAGAAAGAGAAGAAGATTGCAGGAGAAGCACAGAAAAAGAAGAAGATTGCAGGAGAAGCACAGAATGAGAAGAAGACTGCAGGAGAAGCACAGAAGGAAGGAGAAGCCCAGAAAGAAAAGAATAATGCAAGTGTGGAAAATGAGGGTATGTTAGAGGAACCTTTTGATATAGATACATATATAGAATCCTTCAGTTTCGCAGAGGAACATAATAGTGTAGATTTAGAAGTTGAGGGGCAAAAAGATTGTGATGTTCATGTAGAAGTGGGGAAAAAATCACACTTGCCTAATTCAAATGTGGGTGAGTGTGAAGTTCAAAGCTCTGGGGATGATAGTGATGATGCAGATTATTTTCCCATGGGAGAAAGTTCATCTGATGATGAACTTTCTGATGATGACTTTGTTTCTGATGATGATGAATATCTCGAGGCAAGGCAGAATTTGAAGAAACATAAAAAGATGATATTAGAAGATGGAGAATGTGCAGATAACATTTCTTCAGGCAAGGCCATTGAGATGGACAGTGAAGATTCTGGCTACTTACACTCTGCATTGCTATCTCAGAGTGAATGGGAAAAAGATGAGGAGGGGAACTTAATAGGTAGAAAAAGAAGGGTTACTTATGACCCTAAGTGTGATCATAGCACTCTTGAACTTATGCTAGGGATGAGATTTGTAAGCACTGAGGAATTGAAAAGAGCAGTCAGGAATGTTGCAATTTTTCAAGGGAGGGACATAAAGTTTACTAAAACTAGCAAAAAACAGTTAAGGGTCCGATGTGTTGATGGTTGCCCTTGGAGCATGTATGCTAGTACAGTTATGAGTGAGGGCAGTGTAGCAATCAAACAGTTGAACAAAAAGCACAAATGCCATAGAAATGTGCACACCAGACAGGTGACATCAGAATGGATTGCTGAGGAATTACTTGAAAAGTTGAGAAAGAATCCAAACATGACCATATCTCAGATGGAAGAAGTGATTTCTGAGAAGTATGCAGTACAACCAACAAAATGGAAGTTGTACAGGGGAAAATGGAGAGCTCTTGAGATTCTTAAAGGTTCAGTAGCAGAGCATTATGCTTCTATGAGGAGTTACATGGCAGAGCTGTTGAGGGTGGACAGAGATGGAAGGTTTGAGTTTCTTCTTGGTGAAGAAACAACATTCAGAGCTTTCTATATTGGATTCAGTGCACTGAGAAAGGGTTTTCTTAGGGTTGTAGACCCATTTTAGGATTTGATGGGTGTTTTTTGAAGACTTTCTTAGGGGGGGCTCTATTGTGTGCCACATCAAAAGATGGCAACAATCAGATATACCCAGTTGCTTGGGCAGTTGTTGAAA